GCACCCCCAACAATTCAACCATACATCACAAAGTCCTCAGTAATAGAAATCGTGTATGACTAGCTACAACAACTAGATGTTGCGTTTTAAAGTCTCAACAACTTGCATCAAACTCAACACTACATAGAGCAACATGCCAACAAGCATTATCATGATATCAAATACTAAGGGGTTGTTTGGTTGCCTGAAAAAGAAATGCAGTATAAAGTAAATGCAATGTAAAGTAATGTACTGTATTCCGAATACGTTGAGAATGTTTGGTTGTCTGCAAAATAAACGCAGAACTATTTCCCTTGTTTGGTTAGGTAGATCCAGAGTAAAGTAAAAGTTATTTTTTTTTAAATAATTGGATAGAAATCATGGATACTCATGCAACCATCTGTTAGTATTTTCATCAAAACCTCTCACATCGCCATTTTTAAATTAATATTTTTTTTACATTCATAAGACTCGAATTCAAGGGCTCTTAGGCATTGTTTGGGATAAAATGTTACTTTCTAAAGTTGCTTTTTAAAATCTTTTTTTTTTTCAAAAAAACCTTTATAATATAAAACTGATTTATAAATAAATACAAATAATGTCAAAAAAAAACCCTTAATTGAAATCAAAAACTATTAATATGAATAAATTACATGCTTTCAAAAACAACTCTTTTTTAGCAACGTATCTATCAAACGAATGCCCAAGATTATACAGTTACACAGAGATAAGAAAACAACAATAAATCCAAAAATTAAAAACAAAATTTCTTCCTCTGATGCCTAACAGCGAAGCTATTGTTCAAGCAAGAATAGCTCATTTCTGTAGGACCTGAGTCACCCACAACCTCAGTCATGTCAGATTATGATAAGGAGATTCATTATTAAAATCTTTGCAACTTACACTGCAACCGGAAACAGATCTATTTTTCTTATTCAAATGTTTTTTATCCAAACGAGCATGAATATGTTTTTTCTTCATAAGGAGAAAGACTAATGCGATAGCAAGCACCACAACAGCTGACACCCCCAAACATTCTTCATCTCAACATTAAAATTTGACTTCTCTTTCATTGTGACAAGTTCAAGAACTGCACGATACCTGAATTGATGGGGATCAAAAACTAGCATAGCAAGTGATCCCCTAACGTCATGGCTGATAGCATATTCTACCATCAGGTATTCAAACTTGTTGTAGTAAAGGACATTTGAGGTCCATTCAGGCAGCCCTGAGATGAATACACGGCCGGGCACTCCAGGAAACATCCCAGAAGTTTCTTTTGCAAAGAAAGTGAAAACTCTAGAAACCTCACGATACCTCGCAAGAACATGATCCAGAAGAAATGGCTGCTTGGAGGTACTCAACATATAATTATCACCTTGCTTAACAAGTATCTATACTTGGGCAAAGATACCCTCACCAGAAGACTTCTTGAGCAATGATAGCGCCTTAAGCATCCTATCAGAAAAAGTAAAATCCCCTATTGATTTGAGAATAACGCTTGAAAGCAGCTTCTCACCCTCCGCGAAGAAGTGGAAATTTTCCAGCAAAAATTTCATCTTCTCCTTTTCGTCATTGCTGTTCGTTTTCGTTGAATTCGCAGGGGGTGCATAGATTGCACCGTCGCTTCTCGACTCCCTTGTCGTCGTTCGACTTCGTTCATTCGCGCGAGAGCGACAGACCGCGCGGATCGCTCCTTCCTTTCCTTCGTTGCTATTCGACTTCGGCTCCCTATTGGTTGTTCGACTTCGCTCTTCGCAGGAGGGATCGCACGAGGCTGGTTCTCGAGCGAAGAATTTCAAACCCGCTCAAATTGAGCGGCTTTCGAAGCCGCGTGATCCGCCTCCCGTAATACACGCCTAATGCTTCCGAGGATTTTCTTTTGTTCCGCTCAAAATTAACCAAACAGCCAAAATTAATAAATACATGTATTTGTTTTACTTTACCCTCCTAATTCAGGCAACCGAACAGCCCCTAAGTTCAAAAGTGAGTCCTCATCAAGCCCCACCCTTATCTTAAATCTCAGTCTCCCACACCAACTACCCTAAAGTCAAAAAAAGATATTATGAACTTGTTAATCTAAAAGAGTGTAACAAAGCCATCGCATACACGATCGAGTTGCCACCAATTCATGTATACACCTTATATTTCATGTATCCTTACTAAAATCTTATCATGAAAATTTATAAATACATCCAACATCACTGTTGCCCGACAAGTGGGATAGCATATCCTATAGTGCAACCCAA